CTTTGCGATACAAACTTACTGGCACAGTAGTAGTGCTTGGTGTCTAGAAGTACATCAAGAGTTTGTAAGTCGTACAAAGCAGTGGAAACACGAACCCCACAACGTACTTCTGAAACACCGCTAGCATGGGAAAGCAGCATCACAAACAATGCCTCGATCATAAGTACACAAGTGGTTAGGTGACCAACTTGTGACCCATAAGTCCCCGGTTCGAACCGCTCTATCACCGCCCATCTTCCCAGGCAGCCTTTGTATGGCCGCGGCCCCCTTCCTGAATGTTGACTGTACATTTGTATATTCAATAAATAAAAAGGAAGTAAAAAGACAGACGGACAGACAAGGTACCACCAATGTGAATGTCAGTGTTGGGAACCAGAAAAAAACGTACACGGAAGTTGAAACGCGCTGTACTTTACGATACCGTGGAATAAAATCGCTCTATTGACCACAGCATGCATGAGATTTCGCTTTCTGAGCTTAAGCAGATAAATGATCAGAAAACAGTGCATGAATTGTCCATTTACTTACACAACACCAATGATAGGATAAACTAAACAATTAGTGAATGGCGCAAGGAATTCCTCTGATTGTCTCATTCAACAATGCATTCCCCCAGGGAATTAAATCCACTCAGATGAATAAAAAAGAAACACCAAACATATTTGAGACACAGCACTGCTCCCACGCTCAATTCTAAGATGAATCACATTTATGACCAATGCTGTCCCTTAACGGACGGAATGAGCAACAACAATGTGCGTGGACATGTGACTGAGTTGATTGTACTCGTCAAGATCATGACAGCGAATGACTGAACCATTCGGAGACGAGACAGTTGTGATCACATACATCACACCAATGTGCGCGCACACACATAACGCGTAACGCTGCAAGTGAAGCCTGATTAAAGTGTGAGGATCGAGCTCGAACATGAAGGAAGACGAATGGTTACAACGTAGAAATAGTTCACCAGGGATAATGAAGTATCAATGGATTCCAAACCAACCAAGAAGAGGTGTACGGACTACACAAAATCTTCCTGCGGGAGAGAAGGGGCGGGGGGGAGTAATGGGCACAAACTCAATTGGACATGGAAGTATATTGAGCACCTTGGGCGTTTGACGCCGTCCAAAGAGTGTACGATTCGATTAATTACACACCACCCCGCTGGCTTGCAGGTCGGGCTATGATCAGTCGGAGGTTCCGGTTGAGTTCTCAAAGAAAATTTGCCTTTTTTAGCCTGGACAACTTGCGGTTAGCCCGTTCACGGACTTCTCACAATGTCATACAGATTATTCTACTGAGATTTGTTTGGCAGACAGCCTGAACTCAAACCCGTGTAAAATATAATATATAAAAGCCCTCTTTTCAGTGAAGTGAAATTCGACATCTCCGCTAGGGAACGCAGATTTACGTTGATAAGCATTTGCCGATTGCATAATCCCATTCCTCCCC